ATGACATAGCAATATTGCCTATAAGAAACAGACTTTAAATATATTGATATAGGCAAACTAAATTAAAGGAATGAGAAGATATACATCATGCAAACGGCAACCAAACAATATATTTATTAAAGACAAAAATAGATTTCAGAGCAAAGAAAATTACCAGTGATAATGACAGGAATTACATAATGACAAAAGGGTCAACAAGATATAATGATATTTTAACAAGAAGCCACAGCAATACGACTTGTATATGCACCTAACAGAGCTTCAAAATGCAAGAAACAAAAACTGACAAAATAAGACAAGAAACAGACAAATGAACAAGTATACTTAAAGACTTCAGCACTTGCCTGTTAGTATTAGACAGAATTAACAGGCAGATCACCCAGGGTAGAGAAGACTGAACAAGACTTCATCAACCAAGGAGTCTTTTCAGTGGCTATACAACACTCACCCAACATCAGCAGAATTCACATTCTTTTTAAGTACATGTCACAGTGACAGAGAGCAAAGCCTAACATACATAAAAAAAAAAATTTGAAATTACACAAAGTATTTTCTCAAACCATAATATAATTAAACTAGAAATTAATAACAAAAAGATAACAGGAAACTCGCTAAACAACTTAAAATTTAAAAATCAACTATACTTTTCATTTTCAGAAGTTAAAATCTTTTTATATCTTTCATTCTTCAACTTAACATTTTCAGTCTTTCCTGTACATTCATAATAACTGTTTTAAAGCCCTTAAACCATTGATTCTATCATGTCATTTTGGAGTTAGCTTCAACTGATAGATTTTCCTCCCCATATTTTCCGGATCTATACAGGCCTGACTTTTTAAAATCTGCTCGATTCATTTTTCAATGTAAACCTTGTTACCTTCCCACTCTTTTCCAGCATACTGGTAGTCAAAAATTATTGGCATAAGATAGTTATGCAATTTGTTTAAAAAATGGCCAGAAGATCTGAATAGACATTTCCCCAAAGACATGCAGATGGAAGATTCTCAACATCACTAATAATCAGAGAAATGCAAATCAAAACCACAATGAGATACCACCTCACACCCGTCAGAATGGCTATTATCAGTAAGACAATAAATAACAAGTATTGGAGAGGACATAGAGAAAAAGGACTCCTCATACACTGCTGGTGGGAATGTAAATTGGTGCAGCCGCTATGGAAAACAGTATGGAGGTTCCTCAAAACTTTAGAGCTGCCATATGACTCAGCAATCCCTCCTCTGGATATCTACCCAAAAATTTTGAAAACATTTATTCATAAATATATATGTACCTTTATGTTCACTGCAGCATTATACACAGTAGCCAATACACGGAAGCAACCTAAATATCCTTCAATGAATGACTGGATAAAGAAGTTGTGGTATATACAGAGGGTGCCACAAAAACATATACATTTTAAGAAAGGAAAAAACTATTAAAATTGTAATACTCAATATATACCAATAACAAAAGATGAATACAAGTCACATTTGACTTCTGCAATTACAAGAGATGCTCAGAGTGGTTCCCATCAGCGTCCAGACACTTCTGATTATGACGAACTACTGTTTGAGCAATGTTGACTAAAGTGTCCACTTGTGCACATTTTTTGGCACCCCCAGTATACTCGTACACATACACAACGGAATACTACTCAGCCATAAGAAAGGATGAAATACTGCCATTTATGACAACATGCATGGATATTGAGATTATCATGCTAAGAGAAATGTTAGATGGAGAAGGACAAGAACCACATGATTTTGCTCATATGTGGGATATAAAACAGAAAGCAACAAACAAACAAAACAAACTCAGAAAGAGGCAACACTATGGTGGTTACCAGAGGGGAAGGGGAGGAAGGGGGAAGATGAAGAGGATAAAGGGGGCCAGCTATATAGCGACAGTGGGGGGAACTAAACTTTGGGTGGTGAACACACAATGCAATATACACAGTTAATGTAATATAGAACTGTATACTTGAAACTAATATAATGTTATTAACCAATGTCACCCCAATAAATTTAATTTTTTAAAAATTTAAAAAGACATAACGAGTGCTGGTGAAAATGTGGAGAAAAGAGAACCCTCGTGCACTGTTGCTGGGAATGTTAATTGGTGTAGCCACTATAGAAAACAGTATAAAGGTTCCTCGAAAAATTAAAAATAAAACTACCATACAATCCAGCAATCCCACTTCTCGGCATTTGTCCAAAGAAAACAAAAACATTAACCTACAATAATTGCCAAAGGGAGTTCTTTGGGCTAAAATGGAAGGATTAGACAGTAACTTAAAAGTATATGAAGAAATAAAAAACATGGGTAAAGGTAACTACATTGGTAAATATAAAAGCCAGTATTATTGTATTTTTGGTTTATAACTCCTTTTTTTCCCCTGTTTTTTTCTATATGACTTAAAAAGAAATGGACAGGCTGATCCTAAAATTCATATGGAATTGCAAGGGGCTCAAAATATCCAAAACAATCTTGAAAAAGAACAAAGTTGGAGCACTGACATTTCCCAATTTTAAAATTTATGACATACAACTTACAGTACTCAAAACAGTATGGTACTAGCATTAGAACAGATACAGAGACAAATGAAGTAAATTTGAAAGACCAGAAACAAACCCATATATCTATGGCCAATTGATTTCAAAAAGGGTGCCAAGACCATTCCATGGGAAATAAAGTCTCTTCTACAAGTGGTGCTGGAACCGCTGGCGATGCACATGTAAAAGAACAAAGCTGGATCTCACATCACATACAAATGTTAACTCAAAATAGATCAATGACATAATTATAAGAGCTAAGACCACAGAACACTTAAGAGCAGCGGTTCTCAACCTTTCTAATGCCGCGACCCCTTAATACAGTTCCTCATGTTGTGGTGACCCCCAACCATAAAATTATTTTCATTGCTACTCTATAACTGTAATTTTGCTACTGTTATGAATCGTAATGTAAATATCTTTATGTTTTCCGATGGTCTTAGGCGACCCCTGTGAAAGGGTTGTTCGACCCCCAAAGGGGTCGCGAACCACAGGTTGAGAACCACTGCTTAAGAGGAATACATAGAGGTAAGTCTTCATGACCCTGTATTTGGCAAAGATTTCTTAGATTTGACACCAAAAGCACCAGGAACAAAAGAAAAAAATAGATGAGTTAGACTTCAAATTAAAAAAAACAAAACTGTACACCAAAGGACATTATCAAAAAGTTAAAAAAATACCAACAGAATTGGGGGGAAAATTGTAAATCATGTATACGATAATAGTCTACTGTCCAGAATATATAAAGAATTCTTACAACTCTAAAACAACAAAAACTCAAACACCCAAATTTAAAAATGGGCAAAAAACTTGAATAGACATTTCTGGAAAGGAAATATACAAACAGCCAACAAGTACATGAAAACATGCCCCAAATCATTAGTCATTAAGGAAATGCAAATGTAAACCACAATGACATATTGCTTCAAACATAGTAGGGATGGTTGTAATATCTTTAAAAACCCCAAACATGAAATAACAGGTATTGGCAAGGAGTATGATGATTTTAAGTTGAACTTATAGAGAAATCACCAAACTATTTTCCACAGAGGCTGCACCATTTTATATGCCGGCAGCAATGTATGACGGTTCCAGTTTCTCTACTTCCTTGCCAAGACTTATTTCATGTTATGGGTTTTTTTTTTAAATTAGATTCTACCCTAAATTTATAAGAAACTTCATTGGCCTGTTACTGTAACTCAGATAACAGGCACTTAAAGATTAATCTTTTTAAATTGACTTTTCCTTTTCAAATCTCTTAAAATTTATTTTAAAAAATAACCCATGCTAGGAAAGGTCCATATGTCATCAAACTTTAAAACATGCATACGAAAAATAATGACTTTAAAATAATGATTATCTCTGGGGATAAGGGAAGAGAGAGATGCAATCAGGGATGGGTACACAGAGAACAACTGTAACAGTAATGTTTTTATGTTTGGTTGGTGAGAACAGAGGTTCATTGTGCTATTCTTTATATGTCTTAAGTATTCCACAAGATATAGAGAAAGCTCTAAAACAAGACAAAGAAAAGGAAGTTAATCTTACATCCTTTCATCACCCCCCTCACCACCACCATTAAAAACATGGGATCATACTAGATGGGGTATTCTGCAACTTAATTTTCTCACATAACAATCAACTACAGCTTTCTCTAGATAAAAAATGTGTACAGAGGTAAATCAGTTTCCACAGTTGCAAAATATGTCATAATACAAATGTCATACAATTTATTCAAGTATTCTATTGATGGATACACAGGTTGTTACTTGTCACAAAAACAAAGCTGCAAAGGCATCCTGCTCATGTGTCCTAATATACTGGTACTTTTATCTCTGTAGGATAGATTCATAAAAGTCGAACTATTTGGTTCCAGTATGTAGTCAAGTGATACCTGTATATATATATATATTTTTTTTATTTCCCCAAATATTGCCAGATTACTTTTTCAAAAGGTTGCATGCAGCAAGTCATACTCTCTCCAGCAACACGAGTGAAAGAAATATGGGCACTTCTTAACTAAAATTTCTTTTAACCACATAAGCATTTAACAACAGATTAGATGTAATTTTTTACTCTCCTCCCCATATAGTAAACATGTTATGCTTAGCATAAATAAATTTATTTTCACCAAGAGATCTGAACACGAGAAATCTAGCTCTTTTCTTACACGGTGAGTAATCAAGCTAACAATCCATAAAATAATGTAGCAATTCCCCCCAAAGATTACCTGTACACACACACCCTACCTCTGAGATGCTTCCAGAACAAATATTAAGTATTATACTGTAAGCCCAAAAGTCCTCATTTAGGGCCTAGAAAACCAACCTTTTTAAAATTCAGCCCACAATGAATGCTTACAAACTCATTAGCTCATCAAAAGTACTACATTTGCATGCGAAAGGCAGAACGAAGGAAATAAAATAGGGAGAGGCCCAACAGGGTCAGACTGTTCCTGAAAGCGCTTGGGGGGAGACGGAATCTTTCCTTTGGGGTGGCATCTTGCCAATAATGGAGCATTTAAACGAGAGGAAAACAACCCGAAATGCCGCCTTGAATCTATTTTCTGCAACCGCCTAGCTTCATCAGTGCTGGTAAGACGACTAAGGAGAAATTAATCTCCGATATTTTGAACATAGGAGAGCGAGAAAAATAAAATACAAGCCGGCTCCCCCCCCTCTTCCCCCAGGCAGGCCACGCGATCTTGAAGTGTGGAGCCTTGCTAACGATTTTTCCACCGGCTGGAGGTTGGGCACTCACCGCAGTTTAGAAACTGGTCAATTTCTGAACTTTTCCTTAGTAGATTCGTCTATGGCCGCCTTTCCAAACCTTAGGTACGCCGGCAGTACTTGCGCGCCATTCAAACGCCGCCATCTTAGGTCTCAGAGGAGCCGTAGAGATAGGTCACGGAGAGCCTGTGGTGGGCGTTACAGCCAAATAGGCCCCGCGCCCAACCGCGGTGCACCACCCAAATGGCTCCGCCGGCAAAGCGCGCCAGCAGCCCCGCAGCCTCTCCCCCAGTTTTCCTGACTGCTTGCATTTCCTCTCACAACCTTTGGTGCCTCTATTGATATTCCTTCGTTTTTCCTTCTTTTCTTTCCCTTCATTTTTTTTTCTTTTTCCATCCCCAGTATTTTTTTTTTTAACCTTCGCTCTGACTTCCTTCTTCCTTCCACACTTCTAGATATCTCTTGTTCTCAATTTTCATTTACCTCACAAGTATGTGGGGTAAAACAAACCTGCCTTTTTGTTATTTCACCAAATTATTGCAACATTAAGATAAGCTGAGGACTGACTTTCCCTATTTTATAGATGAGGAAACTAAGGCCCAGAGAGATGAATCAATTTCCAAAAAGCTGTAACAGCTACTTAGTGTTAAGAGTGGACAAGAGCCTAACTTTTTCCACTCCGATGAGCCCTGTGCTCATATAGATCACGGCCTATTCCCCACCAACTAATTGAAAAGATGGAAAAACTGAGGACGAAGATGGGAAAAGTTTGGGCCTAAAGTCATACCACGAGTCAATGACAAAAATGGATTTAAAACAAGCTGCTTCCTTGTTTAATTCTGTAACAAAGTGTCTTCATAAAGGAGTTGGGGATGCTATTCTCCATCCCGAAAGTCTTTCCTCTTCTTTTAGACTCAGCTTAAGTCCTGACTCCTCTAAGAAGCCTCTATATTTATTAAAACGTTTGTCATTTTTGGTCCTTCTCCATGAGGGAAAATACACTAGCTGGATGCCAGCCCCCAAACCATAAAAAGAAAGAAGCTGAAGCTTCTTTGTAAAGTATTATGGGTGAATGGTATGGAAGGTTGATGGGGGGAAGTTGATGATGCACAGGAAAGGAAAAGACAATTAAGCGGCCTGTATCCCTTTCCAAAGGTATAGTTTCTCCCTACATTCTAATGTTATCTCTAGCTTTCAAGCACCCAGCATGGAACACCTCTTACTCTATTCATTTGCATCATTACTTTTCCTCTCGGTCTTTTGCTATTGTCACCCTCAAATTGAAGGTAATGGTAGAGAGTTGTGTAAACTTCTGGGCCTTGATGTATGGCCATTCTTATGTAAAACACTGCATGGAACCCATCTGGGTTTCGACAGTAATGTGTGTGGTGAAGAGGGCTTAGTTTAAATTTAAATTGTGTGATTTGCTAGGGCTTGAACCTATCTGTGCATATTGTGGAAATTGGTAGGGCAGACACCAGAAGTCAATTGCAAAAGGAACTGCTGAACTTCTGAGAACTCATCTTAACGGAGGAGGGAGTCAAGCAGACAACCGAAGGTAAGTAGAAGGTCAGTTCTGAGTATCGCAGATCTGTGACCTTAATCATCTTTTTGCATCAAGTACCGTATTTCTTGTTGTGCTATAAAATGTATTTATTTTGAGCTAGGTACACAACATTTCTCTGTAGTAATTTAGTGGTACGTAGAAACGTGGATGAAAAGAGTGAAATCTATTGCAGTTTTGCTTCTGATGACTTTTTCTTTCTGGAACAAATGACTATTTGGATTTTAAAGAAATATGTATAAGTAAATAATTAGCAAGAAGCATTAGAACAAGACGCTTGTGAAGTTGCTGGTCAATTTTTTTTGGTGAAAAAACCTGATGCGCTGGTTTTATTTAGTGGTGTTTCAAATTGAAAGGTGCTAGATCCGGAGACCTAGGGGTAGAAAAGCTCTATTAATTCATAGCCAAGGTGGAACTACATACTCCTGCCTCCTCCCACTCACATTTCTCCTAGTCTGTCTTGAGTCCAACCTAAGAAAAATGCCTCCGGAAAACACCAGAAACGGAGGTTGGTGTCAAACGAGGATATACTTGTGTTGTGGGAAGAAGAGATCCAGCTTTCTTTTCCATGTGAATATTCAGTTGTTCCAGCACCATATGTTTAAAGACTAATCTTTCTTTGTTGAAAATTAGTTGACTATAAATGTGAGGGTTTGTTTCTGAACTATCAGTTCTATTCCATTAATTTGTATATGTCTAACCTTATGCCGGTACCACCAGTCTTGATAACTGTAGCTTTTAAGTAAGTTTTCGAATCAAGAAGTGTAAGTGCTATAACTTTACTTCTTTTATCCAGATTGTTTTAGCTCTTCTGGTCCCTTGTAGTTCCATATGAATTTTAGGATCAGCTTGGCAATTTTTTAAATAATCAAGCTGGGATTTTGATAGGGATTGTGTTGAATGTGTAGAAAACGTGGGGAGTATTAATATCTTAATAATTAAGTCTTCCAATTCATGAACACAGAATGGACATTTTCCCATATACTTAGGTCTTAAATTTTTTCAATGACATTTTGTACTTTTCTGTTACATTTATTCCTGAGTGTTTTTCATGCTATTTTAAGTGGAATTCTTTTCTTAATTCCAGATGGTTCATTGTATGTGTATAAAAATACAACTGAGTGTTGTAAAATAGTTTTGTATTATACAACCTGATTAAAATGGTTTATTACTTCTACTTTTAGTAGTATTTTATGGATTCCTTAGGATTTTTCTACATGAGATTACATCACTTGAAAGTAGATATAGTTTTACTTCTTTCTTTTTTTTTTTTTTCATGACAAAAATCATTTACTTTTAAGTGATTATCAGTACACCAATAACAAGTTTTTGAATCCTATCATCTAGTAATTTGGATTAAGAGACACTAGAAGCAGCCCAAAAAATTATTCTAGTATTCATTGTTCTAACCCTTAGCCAAAAAGGACTATTTTAAGGCTGGCTGCTGCTTTACACAGGTTACAAATAACTATTTACTACTTTTTCATAGATAGCGCCCCTGACCTTCAAGAAAGCTTTAGGGGAAAAAACATTTAATCCCTTTCTTTCTTAAAAAGTTTTTTTTTTTACTACATCTAAGAAAGAAAAAGTCAGTGTTGATATACATATGTTGCTTGAGCTAAAAGGCATAGGAAAACAAACATATACCCTTAAATTTCTAAGAAACATGAGGTAAAAAGATGAAATCTTTGGATAAGCTCTAAGTTTATACAAAGAAGCTAGATTTGCTATTCTCCAAAAAGTAAAAGGACCTACTATCCAGTAAGCAGAAATAATTTAATGCCTTTCACAAGAATATAACTCAAGCTTTGCTAAAGCTTCATATTCCATGGAGGCATCGAGGTGCCAATCCATGGAACAGGCACTTCTTTCTTCTTCCTCTATCCATTTACGCGGTAGTTTTCATGGATTTCTGGCCGGATATCACAGACAAAGGCCAAGAGGTTATCCAGGATTTCATCCCTGTTCTGCTGGAAATAGGTCTGGAGGATGCTCATCTTCTCTTGGGTGTCCTTCTCCACTTCAGTGCTGCAACTGCCGTGCGATCCCAGAGCCTGGAGTCGGGAAGCAATGACACACAGGGACATCGGATGACGTGCTGATTAGCCAGGAACAACATTTGATAAGCAATTTCTGTACTTTGAGGAAACCCGGGCTCATCTATGAATATAAATCAGCAGCAGTGGGCAATGTAGCCTCGTGACTGAAGAGCATGTGGGAAGTCGGCAACCCACAGAGTTAATGGGGCCATAAACTTATGCAATCACTTTGGGGGCCAACCCTAAAACATCCATCAAAAAGTCAATTGCACAGCATTTCCACTGCTAGGAAATTATCCTAAATAATGTCTGTTATTATCCTAGATATTCTATTATCCTAGATATTGCTAGAGCGGTATGTTCACATCTCTCTAATGTCTAAAGTACAGCCTTAACCAAAGCCTGGAATGAACCTAAAGATCCAATGACTGAGGACTGGTTAAACAAATGATAGTGCATCTGCACCAGAGAACACGCTTCGGCCATTAAGAAAAATAAGGAAGGTGTGTGGAGCAAGATGGAATGAACTGTAAAATATGCAGTTCAAGGGGAAAAGGTACAGAATGATCTCAGTGTGGTTAGTATGTAAGTTTCCTTCTATGGTTTTAAAGTGGGGCTATATGGTGTTTTTTTGTATTTTTAAACTCTTAAAAAATAATAAACACAAGGGTACAAGGGGGACAGAATTTAGGGGGAATATACAGTTTCGACATGACAGGGTTGTTTTCGCTCTTACGCTCAGCAGTGAATTCACCAATATTATAAATATATAACATCTGTTGTTTCAAATATAAATATGAATTCTAGAAGAACACACAAGAAACTGTTAACAATGACTGTCTCTGTGGGAGGGAAACTAGTTCTCATTGTTGCCCCGTTTTATTGATTGAAGTTTTTACTATATGCATGTCTCACCCCCTCAGGCTCCATTCATAATTTAACATACACTGATCGATAAAGTTTCTTTTACCTTGGACTGCCTTCACAGTATGGCTGGCTTTTTCATTAACGGCTATGTTATTAGAGCATGGCCTATCAGGTTCTTGAAGACATAACTTTTTAGTGTCGAATTCTTTACATTGCCTAACCTGTTCTCACCTCATTCCATATGTTAACAACTCTATCGCTTCATATTTGTAAAATACAGGTTATAAAGCATCCTCTCAGATGTTACCTATTCCTCCACAACCGATAAGGAGGCTGTCACTCCCCTTTCCACAGACGAGGAAACCAGGCTCAAAGAGGTGAAGGTGAACATGCTGAGATTGAACCCTAGAGCCCTGCATCCTACACTATGACTGTTCACATTACAGAACTACCCAGGGACATGTCATCATGGTTAGCTCAGCTGCTAATTCGTATTTTTAAAAGTCCATAAACCCTACTCGGTGGTGGTGGGGGGGAACCCACACTATCTCTGTTCTGTGAATATAAACTATATGCCAAACCTTAGTAAGTTGTCTCACTGCTTAAGAGGTTACAATGGAATCTACTAGAAAAACCCAGACCTTATGCCTACAATGCAACACTGATGTCATCTCTATAAGCAACTGTGACAGAGACGTAAAAGTAAGATGAGATGGTTGCCCTGACAAGAGTATTTTTACACTGTTCTGTGGACGCTCTGACGTCCACAGCAGCCATCTGCCCCAGTTTAAGAGTTAGAGAAACACTAAGTTTTAAAAATACTGTCCAATTTTAAGAACATTGACCAATGCTAAGATGAACAAAACCTTTGCTACTTACTGCTAAGAGAGAGGCATGTGCCTTTAATCACTGCACTTGAACCTGGGACACTGTGTGCCTGGAACTAGCAGAGGCCACAATGTAGAACTTGAGAATGAAGCCCACAAAGCCAAAGGCAGATCAGAGAGATGGAAACAAGAGTCCTAAGATCATTATTTAAGCTTCTGGATCAAAATAAAGTTAGCCTTTCATCTGGATTTTTAATTCATTCTACTTCACTTAAACCAGTTTAAATTGATTTCTGTTACCTGTATGTATACAAAAGTCCTGATAGTTTCTTTTCTCTGTGAAGCCCTCCTCCATCCCTTCCCCTTTCCAGAATTTTCCTTGCTTCCTTTGTACTCTCTGCGATCTGTTTTTGCACTATTATTGTTTGCATCTTATGCACGGTAGTTTAGCCTATACTATTGGCAAGTGTCTTCATCTACACTATACTAAAGTGGGGCTCGGTGTGACTTATGGGTATGGCTGCCACTGCACTTTTCACAGCTGCACGTTTCCATGACTTGCATTTCATTTCTGAGTCTCCCTGACTACCAGACTGTAAGTGAAACACCACGAGGGCAGACCATGTCTCTTTCTGTTCATAGCTCACCCCCCACCAAGCACGTGGTACAGGACCTGGCACATGTTAACTGTTCAACAGATATTTACTTGTTAAATGACTGAATAACTGAAGACTAGGATTTAATGTTAGTTAAAAACTGATCACTCTAAGAGATTCAACCTGAACATGCAATAAAATAAAATACACAATAACCAAAATTTCAAAATTCGACCAGAATGAAAATTTCCAAGCTCCGCTGGATATTTTGAGAGCCTGGAGGGAAGGGAAGGAGAGGGAACATTCAGGAACTAAAGCAGCAATGAAAATAAATGGGGCCCACCGCAGCCTCCTTGGCCTTGAACTCCTTCTCCCTCTGTAGGCGGTACTGTTCAATTTCAGCCTGAGCCTCTTCTTTGGCCTGCTTCAGCCTCCGGTTCTTTCGCTTGCGGGCCTCGGACACCTTCTCGGCGGCCCGCTTCTCGGCCTGCAGCAGCTGTTAAATACCCTGCGACTGACTGGCCATGGTGGAGAGAACTCCGAAGCCGAGGCCAGCGGCCTAAATCCGCTCGGTTACCCGGTTGGTCAGCTGATCCAGTCCAGTTTTACTTCTTTCTTAATCTGGATGCCTTTATCTTTTTTTCTTCCCTGACTAGCCTAGACAGCACCTCTCCTATAAGCTGAATAGAACTGGCGAGTGCAAACATCCTTCGCTAGTTCCCAATCTAAGGAAGAAAGGTTTTCACAGGTGCTGTATTAACTTCCTATTGGCACTATAACAAGTTACTGCAAAGTTAATGACTGAAGATAATACAAATTAATTTTCTTAACACTTCTGGAGATCATAAATCTGAAATCAGTTTCACTCAGTTAAATTCATGATGTCAGCAGGCCTGTGTTCCTTCTTGAGGTTATAGGGAAGAATCTGTCTTCTTGCTTGTAGAGACTGCTTTCATCCCTTGGCTTATGAGCCCCTTTCTTCCATCTCCAAATCCAACGGTGTAGCATCATCTCTAATCTCTCACTTCTGCTTCTCCCTGCCTCTCATCTTCTCTCCTTAACTCTGATCCCTTGCCTCCCTCTTATAAGAAATCTTGTGATTACATTGGGCCCACCCGAATAATCCAGTATAATCTCCCCCATTTTAAGATCTTCATCACAGCTTCCAAGTCTGTCACCATGTGAGGTAAGATGTTCACAGGTTCTGGGGGGTAGGACAGGGGCCATTATTCAGCCTACCAAAGATGCCCTTTTCCAGTGTCAGTAAATTCCCCTCTATTTGTAGTTTGTTGAGTGTTTATGTCATGAAAAGGTTTAGACTGTGTTAAAGGTTTTTTCTACATCTATTTCATATGTTGAATCAACCTACCATTCCTGCAATAAAGTCCACTAGGTTATGACATATAATCTTTTTTGGGCTTGTTTTCAGATTCAGTTTGGCAGGTTTTGTTGAACATTTTTGTGTCTATAGTCATAAAAGATACTGGTCTATAGTTTTCATTTCTCATGATGTCTTTGTCTGGTTTTGGTATCAAGGGAATTCTGGTCTCAGAATGAGTTGGAAGTTGTTCCCTCCTCTACTAGTTTTTGGAATGGTTTGTGAAAGGCTGTTATTTTTTCTTTAAACATTTCCTAGAGTTGACCAAGGGAGCCACCTGGACCTGGGCTTCTCTTTAGGCCTTTTCTTTCATTACTAAATCTATCTTTTCAGTTTTAAAGGTCTATTTGTTCTTGAGTCAGTTGTTAATAGTTTGTATTGTTCTAATTTTTCATGATACTTAAAACTATTTCGGGTGAAATTTCTACAGGACTTACATCATCAGAATATTCATGAGCCAAGTCATTGACTGCTTTTCATAAATCAGAAGTATTCATAGAAAATAACTTTTCTCTGGTTAAAAATGAAAATTGTGAGGGCACTTCATTTAACTTTTCATATCTCCATTTCAAATGTGAAATTAGGACATACATAACTTTCTTAACTATATATTTGATATGTACGTTTGCCATAATAATTGATGCTCTCATCTAATTTGTGCATTTCCAATTTATTTATCTTTTTTTTTCATTTTCAAGTTCAGGAAGAATATGTGTTTCTCTTGATAAAGTTTTACATTCATAAACCATACTTTCAAAATTGGTTTCTTTCATTGTTAAAGTACATAGAAAAATATATATGGGAACACATGTATTTCCATTTGCCTCAGGTTTTAATGTGGTTCAGCATAGCACCACCGTGTTGTGTGTTTTTATTTAAAATTTAAAAGTTTTGTTCATCGTGGAGTTTTTGTGTTAATTTTAATTTAAGAAATATTGCATTTGGGATTTCACACCTACTAGAATGGCTGTAATCGAAACGACAAAAAAGCGTTGGCAAGACTGTGGAGAAATTGGAACCCTCATGTATTGCTGGTAGGAATGTGAAATGAGGGAGTTTGGCAGCTCCTCAAAAAGTTAAATCGAGAGTTACCATATGACCCAACAGTTCAACTCCTACGTATATGCTCAAGAGAATTAAAAATATATGTCCACGCAACAACTTGTTCATAACGGCATTATTCATAATAGTCAAAACGTGGAAACAACTCAAGCAACTGATGAATGGATAAACCAAATGTAGTATATCCATACAATGAATGAACCTTGAAAACAGAATACTAAATTAAAGAAGCCAATCACAAAAGACCACATATTGTATAATTTGACTTCCACGAAATGTCTACAATACACAAATCTATAGAAACAAAAAATAGATTTGTGGTTGCCTAGGACTGGCAGAAGACGGACTGACTCCTAATGGGTACCTGGTTTCTTTTTGCAGTGATGAAAATGTTCTAAAAATACATAATGGCGATGGTTGTACAACTCTGGAAATAGCTAAAAACCGTTGTACTGTGCATTTATGTGCATAAATTATTACACATAATTTATGATGTGTAAATTATTTCTCAAGCTGTAAAAAAAGTAAACAAGTAATTACATTAAAATACGAGATCAATTAAGTTTGCGAACTCATCCTAGAAGAAGTGCTACATACCTCATTGCTGAATATCACTATGGTCACCTTCGAAGGACTCCCCTTGGGAAGCTATGCACCAACGCCAGCGCCTAGTCCACCCTTCAAAGCAATTTTGGAACTCTTTTCCTGGAATGGCCATTAGAGCTGTCATCGTATTGCCCTGAATGTCATCAAAATGTCTTCCTTTCAATATTTCCTTGGGGCGCAGCAGGAGAAAAAAAAATTTTCCTTTATCTTCGGATAAAGAAAGAAGTCATTGGGAGCCAGATCAGGTAAGTGTGTTCCAATAGTTATTTGTTTACTGGCGAAAAACTCTCACAGACATGTTGTGTGAGCTGGTGCATTGTCATGATGCGAGAGCTGTGAGTTGTTGGCAAAAAGTTACCGTCGTCTAACTTTTTCACGCAGCCTTTTCAGCACGTCCAGATAGTAAACTTGGATAGCTGTTTGTCCAGTTGGTACACATTCATAATGAATAATCCCTCTGATATCAAAAAAGGTTAGCAACATTGGTGCAACAAGTTTGCGAACTTAATTTTCAGACATTGTATTATTTATCTTGATTACTGAGGTTTTGATGCACTCTTCAATTTTGCATCCAAAGCAAGTGCCATACCTGACCCTAATCCTGGTTCTGGGAATCAGTGACTCGACTCCCAAAGGCTTCTTGCGTGAAATCGTGCATTGCCCACAAGCTACTGATGCTGAAATTCCAACCTTTAAAGATTGTCCCTTTAGCTTAAGGTTTTCACTCCCATTGGAATGTTAATTTCTCAAGAGGCAGAAAGGCGGAGAATATCCCAGTAATTATTGTTCACCACTGGTATCTTATAGGTGAAGTTATTGGTTCTTTTCCCTCAGAGCGTTGTTTAATGTGAAAGTATGAGACATTAGGGCTCTAAGGGTGAGAGATGTTCGGGGGAAAAAGAAAAGGAAAAAAAAGATTGAGGGCCACAGAAGCAAACACTGCCTTTTAAATATGAATTTCTTATGATCAATTTATCTGATACTTACTGAATACCTACCCTGTGTCAGGCTCTGGGCTAGGTGCAGGGTTAGAGCAGTGAAAAGGACAGGCATGTTCTATGGCTTCAATGACTTCGCAATCTGGTAAGTTGGATAGAACAGGAAAAACCTGCTTTTGTATAGAAGGCATGACAGAGTGCACAGAGGAGGGAAAGTACTGGGGTTTGCACAGCGCTTTAGTTTACAAAGCACCTTCTCATCCACGGTCTCTTTGAATCTTCACAACAACCCTTTGAGTTTGTGTATTCTGCAATTTCTCATATGCGCTATTCTCCTTGGCTCACAGTGCAATTTCAGGGAAATCAAAAACATGTTTCTGGTTCATTTGCATGTATCTCATAAAAATGTTTAGAAAGGGCTATGTGCTGCCCCAGTGCCTCTTGTGGCCTCTGTAGTAAGCTTTTTAAGTTATCTTTTGCCGTTCTTAAAAAACTAGGCCCTTCTGTGTCAAGGACTTGGAAGACTTTGAGAATGATTGCTGTTAATTCTTTTTCAAACTTTTGGTAGGCTTCATTAGTGAAGCCGTGTGGTCTTGGATCTCTCTGTCGGGAGGTTCTACATTACTGATTTCATCCTCTTATTTTGTAAGGTTTGTTCAGGTTTTCTGTTTCTTCCTGGTGGTTTCTATGTTTCTTGGAATTTGTCCATTTTGTCTAGGTTACCTAAGTTTTTCACCTTCAACTGATCATAATAATCATGAGAATCATGTAGCACAACAAGATCTATAGCTGTCCCCTGTGGCACTGGGAAATGGAGAGTGGCAGGTTGGTGAGCAAACGCGTCGCAATATTCTCTCAGTGTATTTTAGCAGCTTTTCTTCATTAAGCGCACCTCTGCTTGCCCTGCTTGTTGTTTTATTACATTATAGAATTCTGTAAAAGTTGATTCTGATGGTTTTCCACAGCTTAACGACTGCTTCAGTGGATGACGAATCCTTGGAACTCCTTCGTCCTTCATTCTCAGTGATGTCACGTGTCCTCAACGTTTCATTCTGATGATGACGATTTTCAATCCTGCAGCAAGGATAAAACAAGAGTACAGTGAAGACCCACCACATAGGTTCTACCATTAACATGTTATTATACTTGTTTTTAATTATAGAACCATCTATCAATCTATTAATTCATTTTTTGCTTTGAAGCATTTGAAAGTACATTGCTGACTTCCATATACTCCCTGACACTTCTATATGTATACCATGAGCAGAAGTCAATATTCCTTTATGGTATTTTGAACTTTGATGTAAAGTATATACAGAGTGAAATTCACAATTATTAATATACCATCACTGAGCTTTGACATGGGTAACTCCATGTTCTTTTTTTTATAAACAAAAAAGGCTCTCCCAACGGCCTAATATACCTTTGTAGGACACCATAAATGGTGTGTGTTGGGGTAGGGACAGGATTAGAAGAATGCCTCGAATGGTCTGATGAGGTTCATAAGATCTTGAGCCAGTTAGAAGATCCTTACAGGGCATGTGGCCCAACGTTACTATCTGATGATTATCTCCAGAGCATCCCCGCAAAATGCACCACTGGTTTGCATCCTGTTAGGGCCTGGCATCTGTCCAGTTCTGGAGGTAATCTGTTCCATCTTTGAACAGCTGAGAGTTTGCAGACATCCTTATTGATATAAAGCAACACACAACAAGACTAATCATCTCTCCCACTGCAGACCGTCCTTATGATTACAAAGAGCCGACACCTAGTATTCTCTTTGCCGTAATATGTTCGTGTTCCTTTTACTGCTTCTCACTGATGATGGCTTGGAAGACCCCCCCCCCCCCCGCCCTCCACCAGCTTGCCAATTTGATTTTGAATGCTTTGTCTAAGTCCCCTTTAAATGGGACTGCATCAAAGCCAAGGACAAGCTTCCCCTGAGGGGGGCTGTTCAAATGAGAGGAAGTTGAGTACTTTTAGTTTTCTCTTTCTTCTGATACTGAACTTGTATAAATAAGACGGAAACCCTTCAACTCAGACCTTAGTTGGGTCTTTCCCACAGGCTGGCTCAGTGTTTCTTTGATAATTTCATACTGCCATCTAGTGGCTAAATCAGGTAATTCCCGCCTTTCTTTGAACTCTAGCAGGGGAGAGGAAATGTATGTTAACAAAGTATCGAGCATACAAGTGAAATCATTGTAATCTTTTAAAAAGACGAATTGATTCCTTCCTCCCATATAATTCCTGCTGTATGCCATGCATTTTGGATAAGTAAAACCTGAAGGTGATAAATGGCGGGAGATAGCAGGGCTACTCCAGGGCATGATTAGGGCCCTAGATAAATATTTTGGGGGAGTCTCTCTTAATTGGATAAGTAATCCGATTAAAATAAAAGTTATGGGTCCACGTGAGGTGTAGTCATTTAGTAATGAAGATGTAGAATAAGGGGCAGAGAAGAATTACTTACATATTTGCGTTTTATTTATTTTTTATTCGACAGTTCATGTGAAAATTCCTCATGCTGTCCATGTGCCATCTTTTTAGGTCCAGAAAACATTTCTTCATGGTTTTTTATTGTCGAATGCATCACATCTGGCTAATTTCACGTCGCCCAGTAGGACAAAATAGGTACTAACACTGTTACTATTGCTAATGCAATGGCTCTTTGGAACCTCTTTCTATCGAAATAATACAGATTTGCTGCCTCTGCAGGTCTTGGAGCTAAGTATCGGCAGTATACCTCGGTAACCTACAACCTGAAGATGTCCTGCGTCCTCCGCAAGTGAGAGTCACCCAAAATCAGCACGTTATCACCATTCTGGCGGACTCATCTCACCGATCCTATGAAATTACTGTGACAACCAGTGGAAGTGATTTGCTATTCTGGCCGCCCTACTGGACCGATGTCCTGGCTGCCGAACTCTGGGACAACCATTGTATAACTTGTCTTTTAACCTTTTAAGGTATTTTTGTGAAACAAACGGTTTTAATTTCACGAAGTCAAATTTATCCATCTTTTGTAGTTGATACTCTTTGAGTTTGTTTAGGAACAATTTCCATAATCCAAGGTCTAAAAAGTATGGAACATTTCCGCAATTGTAGAAACTCCTGTTGGACAGAGTTGTTTCGTATGGGCCTAGTTACCCTAACAATTGGTAGCCTGTGCTAAGGACATAATAAGCTGAAACAGGTTAAACTTTAGAGTGTGGTTAGATTCCTGCTGATACTAGGGTAGTATTGCTGATGCGTTGGTGAGGTGGCCGGATAGTATTGCTGACGGTGGTACTTGTTTGCTTTTGGTTTGCTGGTTACTTCGGGCAGAGATCCGAGGTGTTAGGGAATACTACTTGTAGCTAACCTTTTTTCCCGAAGGCTGAGTGATACGAAAATGATTGTAGCTACCGCTTTTTATGGTTGTTAGTTCCCAGGTATACCACGATCGTTATGGTGATTTTAGACCCGGTACAAATTCCACCATTCTGACTGGAGATCTGACACTCAAGGTAGTCTTGTCCACAGTTATTTCACTACTGTGCATCCAAAGTTACCTGAGGCCAAGGGCCTCCACTCTGGGATCCTTGTGCTGCTACTAGCTTTTAAACCCAAACCAAAGAACTCAACATCTCTCAACTTCAATCTACCAATCTATGTAACGAAGGAATCCTTGTCCTATATTTGTTTCACTAGGAACTTGTGAAAGCTTAAATTAGGGTGAAATCTTATAGCACACCTTGTTTGTATGCTTTTGTGCCATTGTTTCATTTTTGGGTGTTCAGGAAGGCTCCTGTGGAAAATGATCTTCCAGACTGAAATTCTATTATTAGAGCCTCTTTGTGTTAAGCATTGTCTTCTCAAGGGTACCACTTTTATAACAAAATGTCCTTCATTTGGAATGACAAGTCAGATTACTTTTTGTGTGTGAACCAAGAGCACTTAGAAGACGGAGTGTCAGTGTACTGTTTAAGGAAGAAAATTCTGCATACTTTATTATTTATCTGGAGACTGGAGGACATGCTTGCCTGATAGTGTCACTTTTCAGTTCAGTCACTGGGAGTCCAGTGTGTCCTTTGACTTTCTAGTTGTGTGGTACTTAGTTTCCATGGTCTCCTTCGGGTTCTCCACGGTCTGTCTCGTCTCGGGTTTTCCATGGTCTCCCGTAGGTTTTCCGTTTGTTTCTCTGATAAATGATTCTGATGACCCCAACACTGGGGTTTCTGGGGGTTAGCTCTGGCTTTTATATGAACTGTTTCCTTTCAGTTTCTGCCAGTGGGTGAATTCCACTACTGTGCTCGTACTATTGGTTCAATGTTGGGGTCATCAGATTCATGGAGGAAGTAGGAAAATCCTAAAGAGTAAGGATTCACAGTTTAAAAATTACAAATAGGTCACAAATAGTACTCCTTGATTATTTAGGGGCCAAATCAGCATTCTGGGAAATTTCTTTCTTTTTTCTTTTTTTCTTTCTTTCTTTTTTCTTCTTTCTTTCTTTTTTCTTTTTTTCTTTCTTTCTTCTTTTATTCTTTTCTTTTTTTCTTCCTTTCTTTTTTCTTTCTTTCTTTTTTTCCTTCTTTTTTCTTTCTTTCTTTTTTCTTTTTTTCTTTCTTCTTTTATTCTTTTCTTTTTTCTTCCTTTCTTTTTTCTTTCTTCTTTTCTTTCTTTTTTCTTTCTTTCTTTTTTCCTTTCTTTTTTCTTTCTTTCTTTTTTTCTCTTTCTTTCTTTCTTTTCTTCTCTCTTGCTCCGCATCTGACTTAGAAGTGCTTCCCCTTTCCTATGATCAGAGGCCATACAAAGGCAGACTACAGGGGTAGAAACCATACTGACTCAGGATTTTTTTTTTTTAGAGGGCAGTATCACTGGCCCTCATATGTGTTATGGATTTTTTTTTATAATCTAAAATTTAGGAAGAAACCTTCACTATTGCATTACATAATGGAAGGGAAAGTCCCTAGAAAAGGATTCTAAACTGTAACACATTGCCCTTTCCTAACTTCTTTTGTTCAAAAGTTTGGTAGGGCGTTATGCCTTCTGGCTGAATGAGGTATTTGAATACTTCATTAACATATCAAAGCTCTACCTGCCTTTGTCCTTTTTCAAAACCAAACTAAATTAAAACCTTTTGTTATGCTGTTTCTGGTGAAGCATCAGTAATCTATTTGATGTACTCAGTGTCTTTATTTTGTAGATGTAACCCTTTGAAACTACAATGAAGTGATTGCTCCTCAACTAAAAATGATTCCTGCTTCCAAGTTTAGTGTTCTTTTCTGTTTCTGTGTTCTTAAAATCTCCCCTTTTCTCGTTAAAGTAAAGGACACACTTTACAAACCACAGACATAATTGGCTTGCAATCTTTTAGGCCACACCTCTTTCACTCTTTTCTGCTCCAGTCCCCTCCCCATCACTTCTTAAAGTGCTGAGATTTTGGTGCAGCCGCCATATTTCTTCTTTTCCTGAGATAGAAGCTGGGTGACAACAGATATCTCCACCCCTGTGGTCCTTTCTGGAACACCTTCCAACTACTGACACTTCATGGCGCATTTCTAAAAAAAAAAAAAAAAAAAAAAAAGAAGAACCAAAGTCGACCAAAATACGAACTCTAAACGTCCTCCTAGCAGGTTCTTGACAGCTCCCTATTTTTCAGGTATTTGGGATAGGTTTAGGCCACTTGCCATTTGAAAGGAATTTTTTTGGGCAATGATTTTTGGTTGAGGCCTGTTTTTTTGTGGTTCAGGTTTTTTTTTCCCTTCACTTTTCTATATTTTGCCCATCAGGGCTGTGAATGCCTGGTTTTATTTATTTTCTTAATTTGCCCATCGGGGCCACGGATACCTGCTTTTAATTTTTTTTCCCCTTAAGCCCATCGGGGCCCCGGATACCTGCTGTGTTCCCCCCCCACCCCCCAAAACTCTGGCCCATCGGGGCAATGGATGTCAGCTATTTTTTTTTTAAATAATTTTTTGGCCCATCGGGGCCTAGGATACCTGCTCTATTTTTTTTTCCTTGCCCATCGGGGCCGCGGATACCTGCTTAGATTTTTTTCTCTTGCCCATCGGGGCCACGGATACCTGCTTAGATTTTTTTTTTTCATTCGCCCATGGGGTCTTTTAATGCATCGAAAAGTGGTTCTCTGTGGTTCCTTATACTACCTGGAATATCTACAAATTTTTGCTGCTAATCATTTGGTGTTGTGTGAGTGGACCTACGGCTTTCGCTGGGAGAGGATTTTGCAGTTAGGGTACTGGGTTAGGCATGCACGAAAGGAAAGATGGCAGCCACTTAGGTTTCTAGCATTCCTTTGACAACAGCTCGTTAGCATAACATAGGGAAGCAGCAGGGCTATCAGGACATAGGGAGGAAGTTGTTTGCATAATAAGTATGCTGATGGGGGCTGTTAGGGTCTTTGCATAAGGTGTGGTATCCTAAGTTAAATGGTCGCTATTGTTCTCTGACATTCCCTGGGGCTAAGTGAAAGTGATAGGGAGCCAACTTAGGGCTCGGGCTTAAAATGGCGACTTTAACATTTACGCACTGCGCAGCATGTCTCCCTGAATTTTGTTACAGTGTCTAAAACGGCGGATCCAGTTTTATCGGGAGTGTTCAAGTGGAGAGAAGGCCACATTCATGTTGGTAATAATTGTTCTCGTGCACAGTTTGGTGGTAGAAATATTCTGTTACATGGTATAAGATGGCGGCTCAAGTATGCTGCTATGTAAAATATGGCGGTTTTTGTCGTTGCCCCACGCATTTCCTGACAGGTTTTGCTACAGGCAGAATATGCAGGCCTTGTCAGGTGGATATGTCAGTTTGTCACATGGACGTACTGGCTGGTGGGTTTTTGCCCAGCACTTTCTTGGCGGGTTCCGCCCCAGGTATTTGCCACTTTGTTCAAGATGGCGGGCGTTTGCTCGTTTGCCGAAAAAAAAGTGGGACGGTCAGTGTTGGATTGCCGTGTGACCCACCCAATCAGACAGGGTGGTAGAATTGGATACAGCCGATCAGTGGACGGTGGAATTGTACCGAGTTAGCATGGTGCCTCACTGCCCTCTTGATTCAGCCAATCAGAAAAACGAAGCAGAAGGAACCACATTCATGTCACCTCCCAGTGGGTGGTACCCCAGGTCTTTAATCGGTCATTTGGCCATACCGTCTCCATCCCCTTTTACCGGCTCCCTCCCCTCCAGCGTTGCCTCGTGCAGTGCTGGGTATTTGGTAGTGTGAGCTGAACCACACACCGTTCCTCTGCATTGGTGCCCTAACCTATGGCAGTCATTTCCCAGTTGGCCACTGCTCTTCCACGTTGGCCAGACGCGTGCTCCATGCGTGCCAAGTGTGAAAATGGCGGTGAAACTTGGCAAGGACCAAAATGGATCCCACATGATCGTTGGCCAACAGGTGGCAGAAGAGGAACCCCTGGCTTTACTCAAGAGGAACACCTACCCCGTGGCTAATGCTGGGGTTTGACTGATTTCTATTTATTTTTGGATGTCAGTCATAAGTAATAGTTTGATTATGTGGTTTGCTAGTGTTAGACTTGAGCATTAAATGACTAGTACGAAAATGTATTTAGGGGCTTTGTTTATTTGAAGACTCCATTTCAACTACATTTAATGAGCTTTCATTTTTGGGTTCCTTAAAATTCCTTACAATTTTCAATTTCATTTTTATAAATTGCTTAAACATTTTTTTGGTTTAAGATAGTCACACTCAACAATTTGACATTTAAATATTTTTTTACTAATTTTATTACTTTTAAATTGACTTTACTTCCCTTTGGGTTTTGGAAGTCTTATAGCATATAGTTAATTAAAAATTTAACTTTACGATAAAACATAAAAATAATTATTTGATGGTCCATTCCAGTCCAGGCCTGGCTTTGTTTTCATATTTAATGCTGCACTAATTAACTAATGGCCCACCTATCAGGCAAGAAACTTGAATTGCTGTGAACCTGTTTCCTTTATTCACACTTATTATATTGGAGTATTAAATGCCCAAAATTTCGATTTTCTGTGCTGCTCTGCCTCCACAGCCCCCAGCCCTGCTCCCAGAAACCCCACTATCCAGCCCCAAGTCCTTGCTCCAGCCCCAACCCCTGCCCC